TTTGAAACTCATACACAGTTTTACGAGAGGGGGTTAGCAGGGGGAAGGGGTGGGATTGGAACAGATTTTTCCACAACTCAGCCATCAAGCAAAGCAGAGTGGTAAACTTGCCCCCGAGTGTCTAAACCCGGGCTCCTGGGCTTACCAACCTGCTCTCAAGGGTAAGTGTGAAGTCAAGGTGGCAGGTCAGTCATTTTTACTCACTAGCACACTTGACTCTCTCGATTACAGCCTCCTGTCTTAAAAGTCGGTTCTGTCTTAAGGAATATTTTTCAGCAGATCACTCTTGAGCATGAAAAGTCCCAGAGAGCTAAGAGGCACAGTGCTGTCCACTTGAAACCTTTCCAAGCCCAGCACCAGGGAAACGGCAGACAAACAGAACCAGACTCGGTGTAGAAGGCTGGGGGCAGCTCCAAGGACTTCTAGAGAAATCACTTCAGATAAGGCTGCACTCGTGTGCATCAAATGTGTGTTTGAAACCCACTTTCCTCTCTTCTGTACACTGCCCTTGATGAAAACCAGCTGCAGACCTGGATTATTGGCAAGGACAGAAGGACATTATTTGAAGGTTCGATGAAACCAGCACATCTTAATGTAATCAAACCAGAGTTTATAAATATGTCCAGGGAGAACAGAGGGAAAGCCATCGCTCTCACATCTCAGGGCTACTGAGGCCCCCCGGAGGGAGATCCGTTTCTGGCTGTCACCTGAAGCAAAGATGGGTGATTTCCTGGAGGCCACAGCATCTGAGCCGTAAACTCTGCTGAGAAACGCCCAGACACCAGACCTCCTTCCCTCCTATCTGAGCCTTGACTCCATGAAAACATTCTGTCTAGCCTGGTGGACCCCCTTAAATATTTTATTTCAGTCACCTTGGAAACATTAAAAAAGAGAAAAAAAAAATACAACCCAGCAGTGGAGGAGCAAAGCTGATTACTGACTGCAGGGTCAGGAGGTCTCCCGGGCTGCAGGGGCAGCGGTGCACGGCCCCCGACCCTTCCTCCATCACACACCTGCCACATTCCCTGTGAATACAGCAAACCCTCAAGCCTGCGTGATTAATCACCCTGCCCGAGAAGCCAGGAAACAAAGTTCACAGCACCTGGAGAGCTGCACGGAGGGCCCTGCGAGGTCAGCACACAAGACCAGACAAAATTACCGTGCCTGCCACATCCCTCGTCTCATAATCTGCTTCCAGTTCTATAATCCCCGGACGTCCGGGCTATGCATACCAAGAACATTCCTCTTCAACGTGGATCAAAACGGTTCACGTACAAAGGGCTCCAAGCCCTCTCCGCCCCCAGAAAAATCATTAACCATTTCTACACGTCAAACAGCCCTGGACTGCACACACCCGCTCAACGCAACTCTCTAGGGACCTAGAAGCTTTAATGATGCTATCATAAACATTTCTTCACACATCATAAAAACAAAATTTGATTTGACCTGAGAATAAGGAATACATTGTTAACTTTCCAACGATGTACTAACTCATTTAGATCATGCAATGGATACTACAACTATCATTGCACTAAACTGTTTCACAACTACCTCAAGGGAACTGATGTTTCAAAAAAATCAATTGGTAGGATTAGAAGCACTTAAAATTATAAGACATACACTGTATTTTATACTACCATGGGATTATTTTTCACTTTGATTTCAGAGCATACAATGAATATCTCAAGAGAAATATTCCTACCCATCTCCCTTAGGAGAAAAGGAGATTCAGAGACACGCTGTGAGGGACTGGAGGTCACCCAGCTCACGCCTGGGCTGGGCTAAGAGAAATCCACATCATACTTCTGTTGTCCTCTCTTAATTGATACTATTTTCAAGATTTTACACTATAAACCTGGTCCTTTTACACTCCTGTTTTCTGGAGAGAAAAGTTTCAGTTATAAAGTAGAGAAACCTATATGATTTAGGAGTAAGGATTAAAAAGAACGGGGACAGTTCTCACCTTTTAGAGATTCAGATATGCGTGTGTGTGAACACATCTTCATTGTGTGTCACATCTCATCAACTGTGAGTGACATCAACCTTAATTGTCATATGCTATCAAACCTTTTAGAGATTCAGACATTAGGCTCAGTTCTGTGGGCTAATAGTGTCCACACAGTTCAAGAGTGACACCAAAATATACATTAATCTTAGGAACATTAAGAGTGATTCTTAAATAAACACAAGGAAAAAATATTACTGTGGTTTGCAGGCCAGTAGGATTTGAAGTGGCAAGACTGATTCAGCAAACGATAATCAAATAAGTGCTATGCTACAAAAGAATTCTGCATCTATTATTTTATTTAATCCTTACACCGGCCTTCCAACGTTTTCTGTGCCCATTACCGATGATGGAGCTGGGATCCGCAAAGGGCCTGAAGGATCCTAAAAATCGCAGACACGGTTACATGACAATGCTGAAATCTGGGGCCACATGCATCTTATTCCAACCATCCCAGAATATACCACCAATATTCAGGAATCTGAAAAATGTCAGCATTTCCATCCCTCCTTAAAAGTTAACGTTTTGAACTCTTTGTACAATTCTTGTAACATGAAAATGTGAAATGATTTCAAAATATAAAAAGTTAACCTGCTATTACCCATTGCCTCCAGCAGGAAAACAGGAAAGAGTTTTCACTGAGGGGCAGGAGGTGATGGAGACGAGGCATGGGAGGCAAGGGCCCAGTGTCTGCTGTGACAGGTGTGGGGGGAAGGTGGAGGGGAGAGCACTGTGTGATCCAGACGTCAATACGAATGTTGGTTCATTCAGTCAACAAATCCCAATTCAGCATCTCCTCTGTGCTGGGTACCAGTAATATGAGGTGACAAAGGCAAGAGGCCTGCCCTCCAGGACTCAGTCTGGAAGGGGAGAGAGAGACTGGAACAAGCAATTTAACACCATACGCTGAGAGCCATGCTGCAGGCTTCTACACGGTGCTGTGCCAGCACTGGGGACTGACCCCCTGGGAGGGTTAGGGGATACTTCTTGGAGGAAGTGACAATTGCGTTGGGGTCTTAAAGGATGAGGAGCTTTCCTGGCAGAGAAGAGGGGAAGGGCCATCCAGGCAGAGCATATTTCCAAAGGCATGGAGGTTGGAGAGATCACGGTGTGTCTTGGAAATGGAAGATAGTTCTCTGTGGCTGCAGCCTGGGATGCATGGTGGCGGTGGTGGGGGAGACAGCGAGATGATGCTGGAGAGGTGGGCGGGGACCACGATTCCGGGTCTGCCAAGTGTGGCCCGCTTCTGTACATGGTGGGCAGCCAAAGGTTTTTATACAGGGGAGTGACAAGCTCCGTGATAAGATCACTTGGTGGCTTTGCGGAAGACGTACTGGAGAAAGCCAGACAGGTGGCAGGGAGGCCAGCTATTACGAACTCTACATGGAAGGACCCTCACAGCTCAAAGGTCCTTGGTGACTAGTCTGGCTCTCCATTTTAAGAGTGACAAGCTGAGGTCTGGAAAGGTTAAGAGACTTGCACAAAGCTACCCAGCCAGCGAGGCACGGAGCTGGGACCAGAAGGAAGATCCTCTGTGGCTGCTGCAGGGCCCCTCCTCCTGCCTAGACCGCTGAAGGGAACAGGAGCTCTACAGTCTGGGCTCCCTCCCTAGGAGGGGCTTCAAGTTTATCTGCATGAACAACCGAAAGGTTAGGAAACCACAGTCGGTAAAAGAGCGGAGAGATGTTTTCATACTGGTTTTGGATTCCTGCTGTCTTATGTATCAGATAACTACCAAAGGCAACACAGCTTAGCTACCGAGTAAAACAAACCAAATACAGACAAGGGAATTGAGGGAACGTGCACGGCTTCTTTCTTTCTTTTTTTTTTTTGTGAGGAAGATCAGCCCTGAGCTAACATCCATGCTAATCCTCCTCCTTTTTTTCCCCAAAGCCCCAGTAGATAGTTGCATGTCATAGCTGCACATCCTTCTAGTTGCTGTATGTGGGACGCGGCCTCAGCATGGCTGGAGAAGCGGTGCGTCGGTGCGCGCCCGGGATCCGAACCCGGGCAGCCAGTAGCGGAGCGCACACACTTAACCACCAAGCCATGGGGCCAGCCCTACGGCTTCTTTCTAAATCGACCCAAGTCATCCAATCCTGACTGTTCACTCACGCTGAAGTTCAGAGGCATCAACAGAGTCCCTTGTGAGTAGCTGGGTCAATTCTTTCCTGAGAGCAGAGAGTCACCACTTTAGCTATGTTATCTGAAAAAGCCAGTTAGCAAGAAAATATTTCATCCATAGAATGACTATTCACATGGTTAGTCCCCAAAGACGCCTGCCCCAAAGTAATCCGGGATGCTTACCAGAGTCCTGAACTGAGATTCTAATCCTGACACCCCACCCCTGGAACTTGAGGAAAGTAAGTGTATTCTGTTTCCCAGAAAACTCCAATCTTTGGGTGAAGCAAAAACTCTCAAGATCTGAAAAACCAAACAGCCCTCCTACATTCTCTCATGATGTCACCCTAAAGAGGGTGATCTACAAGGAGAATTTATTTTCAGGGTAGAAATAGATTTTCCAACACCTGCATCTCTCCTGGAGGGCCCTTGGGACTTCTTATCTGAGCACGAACTAGTGGGGTGTCAGCGGGATCTTGGGGCTACCCTCCTCCTCGCAACGTGATTCAGACCCAGCCCCTCTGTCAGAGTTAAATTGAGTAGCCGGCCAAGGAAGCAGGTATCCGTATTCCTCCACATGGCAGTTCATATTGTACTAACCAAACCATTAAAAGAAACAGAACACGCAGTGTCTTTGATCAGTCACAGATGGGAGAAAATCAGCCACAGCAATAAGCTCACGGAGGTGGAGTGTGTCGTCACACACGGAGCCGGGATGTGTAATCCAGAAGGTGTGTGGGGGGAGTTGATACCATATGTCGCTTGACTGCTGTGGGCCCGCTCCCATGTCAATAGCAACACGTTCCTCCAAAACAGCTCTGAAACCATCCCTGACGCCACAGCACTCTGCCAAACCATGTTACATGACTCTTACCAGGTACTGAAGTCGCTGGCGCTCAGTCTCGGGGGTGAATTCCGAAGACATGGGGATGATTTCTCCATTTCTGATGATTATGGCCCTGAAATGGCGAAAGTGCATCATCAGCATCCAGTCTCATATGTACCCCAATTCTGTGATAACCCCACAGCATGGTTCAGAACATGCATGAAATGCCCAGGGGACACTTTCTCCTGCAACCTGCATGCCAAAGTTCACTGTTACCAACTCTGGATCCCTCATCACATGGTAGGTGTATGTTTACTATAAGAGCATCACATTCTGGTTCGCTTATGTTTACTTTTTCTGGTAGCTGGAACAGAGCCTTAACAATCAGCGCCAAGCATACGATTTGGTACATAATAGATGCTTAGTGAATAAATGGATGAACGAATGAATGATGCCACAGAGGTTTACTCTAGACTAGTGCTCTCCAAGAGAACTTTCTTTGATAATGGCAGTGTTTTAATCTGTGCAGTCCAGTATGGCAGCCAGTAGCCGCATGTGGGTATTGAGCATTTGAATTGTGGTTAGTGCAGCTGAGAAACTGAATTTTTAATTTTAATTAATTTAGCTTTCCGTTTAAGCAGTCACAAGTGGCCAGTGTTTAATGTAGTAGACAGTACAGCTCCAGACCCTTGTGACTCAAAGGGTGTGTGGGCCAGTAGCATCGCCTCACCTGGGAGCTGGTCAGAAATGCAGACTCTCAGGTCCCACCCAGACTTATTGTATCAGAATCTGCATTGTAATAAGACCCCCAGCCGATTCGGAGGCACATTAACATCTGAGGACACCTGACCCAGACTCTTGAGTTTCTGGGTAATATCCTGGGTCTACGAAAAGCCACTCTCATCTCATCTCAAAGCTCAGGAAATTCACACACTCCCAAAAACGTGCCCAAGAGCTACGCTGACTCGAGGACTTTTGAGAGACCAGAGTTCTCCAAAGCGGATGTCTGAATGAGAGGCTGCAGGATTGATAACCATGGAGCAACATTTTCCTAGGCCTACTCCTGGCAGAGCCTCCTGTTCTCAGACCTTCTTGTTCCGGAGTGCTTCCTGACAGCCACTTTCCAGCTAGTGTTGGGTTGTGGTCGAAGGTTGCCATTTCTATGACAAATACAAGTGGCTTGGGTAATTATGTTCTGCATGAATCCAGTAGCTCCCTGGCACCAGGGAGCAGAGACCTGGAGACCAAACATACTTCTCTGTGAAGACCCACAAACATGGGAAACACTTTTGATGAGCTCAGCTCTCGGCGGATGCCTCGTTGACTAGGGGAGGCTGCATTCTTTGTGCCAAGAAGCCCCTGGCACCCTGCCCTCCCACTGCAAAGGTAGTCCCTGACTTAGAAACAATCCCTATAAATGGCTGCAGCTGTCAAGACCACCCCCCCAACCCCTTGCCACCTGTGCCCAGTTGCTGCTGTCATAGAAACCGGTGGAGGTGGGCAGGCCAGGGAGGAAATGTCAACAAAAATCTTGGGGGCTTTAAAGAATCATGGGTCTAGCAGAAACACAGTGGAAGCTGTGGGAAAATGGAAAAATTTACTGGAGCTGACTCTGGGAAGATGATGCCTCTTGCTGTAACATTCATATCACTTTTATTATGCCGCTGAAAATAGGGCAAATTAAAGATTTCTTCTTATAAACCAAGAGCCACTTGTAAAATGCAATTACACCCCCCCACAAAGGTGATATCCGCCATTCACAAATCAGTGTGAGTTAATGCAAATTGTATTTGTCCTAATTTTCAGCTGAGAATAACTACAATAACAGAGTAGGAGTTTTGATAGAGGAGAGAGAAACCTGGAGAACTTGCAAGAGGGAGCAGGAAGGTCTAGGTTAGGGCCTCGCCCTAAACAAGCGAGACGGGCCCTGAGGACCTGGAGGACTAGAGCAAAAGTCATTATGTAATAAATTCCAAAGGCAACTTTCTGTCTCAAAATTTTGCTTAAATCTAGTCTTAACTCTCTGTCATCCCTTTTTCTACATGGCCCCTGAATTCTAGCTTCCTGGCTCGGACTAGGAAAGCTGGATATCTGGGAGGGAAGTGAAAGATGATGGGAAGATAGGGGATGGGGTGTCAGAGACTGGGGAGGAGGGCCTGGGTGTTATTCAGCGTGGGCCTGCGGGGAGGGGCTCCCAATGCCCAAGCAGGCCCTGGAAGATTCTCCTCCAGGACCTACGTGTCAGGAGGTCAGGGGCCTTGTCTGTTTTGTTCACTCTTATATTCCAAATGCTTAGCATCACGCCCATCACACAGCAGGAGCCTAATGAATGTTTGTGGAATAAAAGAACAAATGAGAGAACTTAGCTTTTTCTTGAATTTCAGGCATGACAAGTAAAACTAAGAGGCAGCAGACGTTCACTTACAGAAGTGAAGTGGGGTCGACTTCACAGAGCCACAAGGGGCCTTCACCTAGAAATTACCTGCTCCCTCAGCTTCTCTTCCTGCCCAGGGTGAGTCCACCCAGCACCTCCTCCCACCTCGGGGTCTTCCCTACATCAGGTATTCCCGACCTCTCTCTCCACTGGCTCTCTGCCCATAGTTCAAAACCATGCTCAAAACACTTTGTGTTGAAAATCAAACAAAACGAAACCAAAACCAAACAAATGATACTCTCCTAACCCAAAACCCACCTTTCAGGGTCTGTTCTCTTTTCTTTCCTACTAAGCCAAGCTTTAAAAACAATAATCTACATTCAAGGTCTCTACTTCCTCTCCTTCCACTGGTCCCTCAAACAGAGGTAAATTCGTTCTTGCTCCTCTCTCCATCCAGTTGCTCTCACAAGTCGCCCAATGGCCTCTTTGTTGCTATATCCACCTGGCCTGACCTCATGCCCAATCTCCTTGGCAACACTGACAGTCTCGCCCAATCTTGGCTTCTGGGTCATTCCTTCTCCTGGTTTCCCTCCTACCTCCCAAGACATTCCCTCTCAGACTCCTCTTTGCCTCCATTGGTGGTGTGGACTACCATTTTGTCTCTTGCCCCCTCTCCCTGGGCAATCTCATTTCCCAACTCCTTCACTCCCAAGATTAGGTTTAGAGGCCTCTCCTACACGTTCCCTTAGCCTGGTACCATTTCTAATGGAGAACACATCACATTCTGTTATTGATGACTTAATTGTCTGGCTTCCATGCTAGTCTGCAAGCTCCTAAGGCAAGAACCACGTCTGTCTTGCTCAACACTGGAGGCCCACTACTGTGCACAAGGCCAGGCTATTAGAAGCAAGATTGTACATAATTTTCAGGGTCTGGAGCAAAATAAAAATGCAGGGCGTCTTGTTTAAAAATTAATGAGAATTTTAAGATGGTGACAGCAGAGCATGAAACCAAATGTGGGCCCTTCTGAGAGTGAGGCCTGTGTGACTGCACAGGTCGCACACCCAGGAAGCTGGCCCTGAGTGTATGCCCTCAACATTTACTGAATGAATAAATGGCTTCAACAACCACATATGCTGATGATTGCAAAGATCCTTTCCAGCCCACACATCTCTGCTGTGCTCCAGCCTGGAACAGCCGACTGCCAACAGGTATCTCCACTCGGATAGTCACCGGCATCTCACACTTAGCATGTCTCAAACGCGAGTAATGCTCCTACCCCGCCACACCCCTAGATCTGTCCTTCCAGCCCTCCCTATCTCAGGGAACAACACTACTTTCCACCCAGTTGCTCATTCCAGAAGCCAGGGAGCCATTTTAGACTTCTCACCCTACATGCCCAAGCAGGGACCAAGTCCTGTCAACTTGACCTGCTCAAGAGCAGGGGAAGCTGTCCCTTTGGTGATCCCTCCTGTTAGTGCTCTGGTTCAGGTCCCCATCAGAGCTTCTCTACAGGACTCGGGAGCTCTCCACTGCTCTCCCTGCTCCCTCCTCTGCCCCCTGCTCCCCAGGGTCACCCAGGTGACTTTAAAGCTTTACTCTCATCATGCCATGTCGCATCCCCTCCCTAAAGCCCCTTGATGGCTCCCTGGTTTTTGCCTCTATTTTGGCTTTAGCCTCACTCTTGCTACTCCTCACACATCTATTTCTCCTTTCCTCTGGCCAAACTACTCCTCTGAGAGTCAGCCCAGGAGAATGCCTTCCTGGTCTACCTTTGATGCCCCATCTCTGCGACCCCAGGGTGCCATGTGCCTAGCTGTCTCGAAGCTTTTTCCAATCCTCACTGTGAAGCCTGGCTTCCACAGCTATCTCTAACTACCTGAGGGTGTTTTCTGGGGAGAGCCTAAGTCATTGTCCCCGAATCTCCACCGCTCAGTGCCTGGCCTGTGGGAGACACGCAATAAGTATGCTGATGGATAGGGGGAGAAATAGATGTATCCAGAAACAAAGGCCCCAAATAAGACTTTTCTTAGTAATATTACCTGTAATTGTCTAGTTGTATATAGTCTGAGTCCTCAAAAATCCGTGCGCCTCTTCATTCGTTTTACAAAAAGACAATAGACCTAAGAGGATGCTGTTCCAGCTGAGTCATCATTGAAAAGTGACTCAAAGATAAAGGGAAACCAGACAGGGCCACATCCTTAGTGGGCAGGGGAAGGAGAGGCAGTAAAGGCAGCCATGACTATGTTTGCCCTGTTTTTTAATTTTAAATTCACACACAATGAGCTATCAGCATTCAATTCCAGTATTTGCTGCTGGTAGTAACCCTAAGTAATTACTTTCTCAAATAGATCATTACACCCAAATCCATCTATGGACAGAACATTCTCCACTTCTGTTTGAACTACCAAGTTCTTCCTTTATGAGGCATCCGTGGATTAAAGACGACAGCATGTTTGGCAGCCAAACTCGGCAGTCCCTAAATCATGGTGTCTCATCCTATGTTGATTCCTGTCTCCCTTTTGATCTTTCTCTCTTTCATCTCTCTGATCCTGGGATCAATTTGTCAGAGTGCTGGTCTCCAGTCTGGAGGAGGGCCGTGAGAGGAATGGGGTTTCAAAGGGAACGAAGTGCAGGCAAAGGCTGACAAATCTTGCATTAAATCACCAGTAAAGTAGAGAAATGCCTTTAAAGCTACATTCTCTCATCATAGCATTCTTGTATACTACATATCTTCTGCTTCATTATTTTATGAAATG